TTCTTTTTAATTTTTATTTATTTATGTGTGTGTGTGTGTGTGTGTGTGTGTGTGTGTGTGTGTGTCTGTGGCCAGCTCAGCCCACCAGGGGGCGAGGCTGGATGGCATGTGGTGCTGGGGGACTGAACCGCGGTCCCTGTGCTTTGTTAAGCTTGTTCTAAGTAGGTGCTTTAGACCACTGAGCCATCTTTCCAGCCCCTATACTATTTCTACTGATCTGTCTTTACTTATGTTAGAACCAGTTTTGCTTACTGTAACTTTGTATTAAGTTTTAAAATTTATACATGTAAAAGAAGAATATCCAATAATGGGATGCACTTCAGGAGGAGCCATACCAATGGCATCACCAAAGAATTTTCAAGGTTTGACATTACAAGGTTATGTTGTACTAGATAATATGATCCCAATATATTTTAAATATATCATATTAAAACTAAAGATAGGCTGGGTGGAATGGCACACACTTACAATCCCAACACTCAGGAGGCTGAAGCAGGAGGATTGCTATGAGTTCAAGACCAGCCTGAGCCATGAAGTAAATTCAAGGCCAGCATGAACTACAGCGCAAGACTGACTCAAAAACACAAAAAAAATAAAATAAAACTAAGGACAGGTGGTTAGGAACACAGGTTCTAGAGTCAAATAGACTCCGGGTTCAGCTAAAGCAAAGGCTTCAACAGATCCTGGAGTTCTCTGTGTCATAGTCTTCATCTGAAAAAAATCACATCTTCTTCAAAGAGTTGTTTTCAAGGATCAGCAAGAGCATACACACACAGTATCTATCACAATATCATAAATGCCTTTTTTTAAATGACTGTATTAGTATCACAAATTCCCCAGGTACTGGATCTGTGGGTATATCAGTATATTCCTATTGTTAGGACAAAACACCCAACACCCAAAACTTAAAAGAAGGTTTATCTTGGCTCACAGTTCCAGTGGCTCAGTCCAAAGTTGACAGGGTTCAAGCCAGAAATGGCTATAAAGGGACTGACAGAGGATAGCTGTTTATCCCCATGGCAGCAGGAAGCAAAGAGGGAAAGGAGGAGCTAGGGACAAGAATATACCCTCCTAAGTCATGCTCCAATGACCCACCTCTTCCAATCAGGCCAAACTTCTAAATACTGAGACTTCGGGGGCTGTTTTAGAGCTAAATCATAACATTCCACCTTTGGCCCCTGAAAGGTTCATGTTCATCTTGATATGTAGCATGCATTTAGTCCATCTGTAAGTGTCACCAGAGTCTTAACAGTATCAGTATTGCTAAAAAGTCCAAATACCAAGTCTCCTTTGAGGCTCAAGGAAAACTTTTAGTTGTGGGTCCCTGTAAAAATTAATAATAAAGCTAAGTACTTCCAATATATAATGATGCCAGGTAAACATTTCTCTCCAAAAAATAGGGAAATAGAAATCAGATCAACCAAAATCAAACCCCACCAGAGCAAACACTAGATCCTACAGAACCTTGCTCAGCACCTTGGGCTGTGGTGAGATGATGTGACCTTCAAAGGGCTTGGGCACCACTGCCACAATGGCCTTGCTGGTTGCGGCAAACATGGCTTCTCTCTAGGGCTGCCTCCACTCACTGCCTGTGCTTTTCTTCAGCAGACATTTCCCATTCCTGATATTTCCAACTCCCTGAAGTCTCCACCGCACCTTTGGCTTTACTCTCATAGTTTTAAACTCGACTCTCTCAAGAGGGCCTGGCAGGAACTATAATGCCGTCACACATTTTTGTCTAACCTCCCAGATGATCTTTTAAAATCTGGGTGGAAGCCTCTGTGTTCACATAACTTGTGCATTCTGCATGGTTGGAAAACCAGCACAAGGTCTGCTGCCAGGTCAACCAGTAGCCTGACGCCCTTGAAAGATGGCTGTGGTATCCTTTGAGTGCTTGGATAGCTGAACCAGGAAAATACTTCTGTAGGTAGCCATGAATGTATAGGGTGTTCTGGAGCTCTCTTCTCAAAGCAGTCTTTTGAAGGTGTTTATCCTTTTATATGTTTAAACTTGTAATGACTGGAATCTAGTCATTTTCTGGCATGCCCTCAAAGTATCTTTCTTGATATCCTGACCATAAAGTATTTGGCATAGCTTTGCAGCAACCATCAAGCTGTAAAATATTCACATATTTTGCTTCTACACTTTGCTCCTGGTTTTCACTGTAGATCTGGATAAAAGTAGCCAGCAGTATTTGTGCCATATGCCCTCAGTTGCCTTGAAATTTCCACCACCAGACTTTGAAATTCAGTCTCACACAGGGCTTGGGAGATAGCTCAGCAGTCTAAGATCCTGACTGGCAAATGCAAGGACCCAAGCTTGATCCCCAATACCACATGCTATGCCAGACCTGGAACCCCAGGAGTGTCGTGTTGGCCCTGAAGCCAGGTGTGGTGGTACATGCCTATACTCCCAGTGCTGGGGAGGCTGAGATAAGAGGATCACTATGGGCTGGCCACATAGATCAGTGGCTTAAAACAACTCCAAGCAGGCACAGGAGCTGGGGTTCGATCCCCAGGCCTGCTGTGCCGGCCCCACACCTGGGGCACACTGAGATAGCAGCTGAGACTAGGCATGGTGGCACATGCCTATAATCCCAGCTCTTGAGAGGCTGTAAATAGGCAGATCACTGCGAGTCTGATCTAGTAGTGAGACCCCGAACACCCTGTAGACCCTTCCCTAAAATACAAAAAAAAAAAAAAAAAGAGGATCACTATGAGTCTAAACTACATAGTGAGACCCTATACCAAATAAATAAATAAATAAATAAATAAATAAATAAAATTCAGTCTCACATGAAGTCTTAGGGCACAGAAAAAAACCACAAATTATTTGTCAGAATGAAATACACACATCCTCTAGTCCAGTTTAGAATACAGTCCTACTCTCTGCTAAAACTGCATGAGCCTGGCCTTTGCTGTCCACATTCCTATCAGCATTCTGATTTTCTGAGATCCAACCAGAACTGCAAGTCAAATTCTGTTTATAGCATTCTAGGGCTTCCCTAGCCTGTACTTCCAAACTTTTCCAAACTTCTCACAAAAATCAATTGCAAACGCTTCTGAACCACATGTCCAGATATAGTTACAGTGGGCCGGCCAAATAGCTCAGCGAATTAAAGCACTTGCAAGCAGGCACAGGTGCCGGGGGTTCAATTCCCGGGCCTGCCACGTTGGCCCCACCTCTATGGCATGCTGAGATGGCAATTGAGACTTGGTGTGGTTTTGCGCACCTGTAATCCTAGATCTTTGGAGGCTGTAAACAGGAGAATCACTATGAGTCCAATCTAGTAGTGAGACCCTGAACACCTTGTAGACCCTCCCCTAAAAAAAAAAATAGAACAGATATGGTTACAGCAACAATTCTACTCTTGGTACCACTTTTTTGTATTAACCACTTTTCCTGTTACTGGAACAAAATACCTGACATTCACAATTTAAAGAAGAA